AGTTCGTTTGATATGAAACTATCATTCTATGCGTTATTATTCTAAGACCTACTAATAATGAACTATGTAAACAGGCAAAAGAGAAAAACTCATACAGCCAACTGCCCCGTGTCCATAACTGCGAGAATTAAAAATACTTGCCTGTACCGCTTACTTAAAAAAAAGAAAATGGCGGTAACATTTAAACTAAAGTGTTTTGGTGTTTTTAATCGACTTCAAAAAAGGAGGAGGTTCTCAATTCGACTGTATGTTATTTTTTTTGTATGTATGTTACGCGATAACTCCGGTATTTGTGAACCGATTTTCATGATTCTTTTTTTGTTGGAAAGGGGGTACGTCCATAGTGGTCCCATTTCATTTTGAAGAAAATCATCCACCTCGAAGGATGGCTGTTCACGCATGAACATTCACTCTTATAAATACGCCTAACTTTAATTTAGGAGCAATTACTTTAATGGTTGATTTTGCTATTTCTTCCATTCAAGGCGTTTTTCTCTCAATATGCTTTGAGTAGTGTCGTAGTGAGAACCTATTTTTATTATCTCCATCGTCAAGTCCTGTATAGTGGCGAACTAGGGGATATTTCAATAAAACTTAGCAAATAGACGTAATTCCAGGTACTTTTGAGGTCGGTTTTTTTAGTACTCTGTACTGAGATTATTTGTTTTGTCGTCTTTTTTGTATTTTGGTCGCGAAAATACGAAAATGAGTGCTAGTAACTCTTAACTAACTCTACTACGCAACTACTCTAAAAGTAACTCTTACTCGTCCAGCAATCCCTTACTTCCTGGACTTTGCAATAGTGTACTATTGCTCAGCTGCTAAACCTAAGTATATTGATATAATTTAATTGAAAAGTCATATTACAAAATGGAAGACAAATATTAAGTATCAGTAGAGCTCCTTGTGAAAGTATTCGTCCAGGGAAGTACTGCCATCTTACCTGTTTCAACCGCCAAGCTATGCTTACATTGAGCATGACTGGGATATGGGACTTATCAACTTATGTCTCTTGGGTCACCAAGCGACACGCTTGCAACACAGGCGTGTCGCTTTGGTCGCTTACCACCAAGTACTTGACTTGTTCGTCTTGTCACTTTATATAATATATAATAGTAAATGTCCTTAACTGGTCCTACCGGGAATCGGACCCGGGACCTCCTCATTCAGCACGCACATTTCAAACCGTTGTTCTACCCAGATCGCCTGTTACCTTCGATTACTTCATGTAAGTTTAGTGTATTAGACACTTACCTAACACAAAAAAGCGCCCTAGCACATCACTTGCAAATTGTTTAAAAAAATAATACCAGAAAAGCTTGAATAATAACGCATAGAAACCTAGTCCGCACACGCTAAGTGAGGCAAATTGAAGCGCGCCCAATGGGCCTACACGAGCGGGCGGGCCTTCAGTGCTCAAGCTCAGTGATCAACTTGCACCGCGAACAGCTCAAGAATTTTAGCTAAAAATGATGAAATGTGCGGTAAATGAGTGTAAAAATACGCCAGACAAACATGAAATAGACACTAACATCACATTCCACAAGGAAGTAACGCGTTTCAACTTGTATTTTTATATAAATATTCACTAAAACCGAAAATTAACCTACTACTAAAACTTGTGACAGTTCGTTTGATATGAAACTATCATTCTATGCGTTATTATTCTAAGCAGAAAAGTATTTAACTTTTAAGTTGTCAAGTTGAAACATTTGGTCCATATGCAATCAAAACAATTATGTTGCAAAATTTTCGTAAATAAATGTGTTTACGAAAATATTACAAGTAGTAGCAGTAGAGCTCGTTTGTGAAAAGTTCGTGCAGGGAAGTATTGGCACCTTACCCATTTGTGCCGCCAAGCAGTAATATGAGCATTACAGCGTTCCGGTTTTGCATGGTAAAGGTGCTGGTGAAATTACAGGCACATGGTACTTGATAACTTATGTCTTAGCGTGACGGTGACAGTGCCCCTCAGATCTTTGCAATTTGAAGTTCTCAGTGGTACTGCAATTGCTAAGGACATGCCTGTTGCTTACCACCAGGCGCATGTCTTATTAATCAGTAATTATTGTAAAAAAAATCATAAATTCATAGTCATTAGAAAGTATAAAAACAGTTTAAATTTTTTGTCGTATGTTTTCGTATTTCTATTATCCCGTTGAAACTCAATACGTAAGCAGTTTTAGCTGAGCTTCAGCGTACCAAATAACATTTACACTCTATACATAGATTTCAATTCATATACTATTTTGTAAACAATAGATTTGCCAAATACACAGCACTGATGGCACCGAAGCCACTAGATTAATCTCGAAACGCCTATAAAATTTCAAAGAGCAAGAAACTTCGAATAGATCTCGTGCGCCAGTTTATTTTTACCACATGCGAGGCGCATGCGCCGTTCGGCCAGTCGACCCGGTTTCACTTTACAATTCATTTTGCAGTAAAAATAAGACTAATAATTCTCAGTATTTTTCTTGTAGAGATATGTTCCGTTTGGTTAATTTTTAATCGGTCATATATTTTGAGTGATACGGTTACATTAACTCACGGTAAGAGCTTTTACATTTCCTAACAATAACCAATTGAGTCACAAAAGAATGTTATTGATAATGTGAATTAAACAAATAAAGTTTGAATAAATAAGTACTAGGTAGTATTGCATTAAAGAAAATAGATAACACTACTTATGAACCCTAGGTAATATACGACGGAAATATTCAGCTAGAACCGAAAATGGGTTATCTTAAACGCTCTGATATCGAATTGTAAATTTCAGATAATGAAAGAAAAAGGAAAATCAATATGCGCAATCTGTCTAGCTCCTGCAGAACAAAAATGTTCCGGCTGCCAAGCTGTTCATTACTGCTCGAGAGAGCACCAGAAAGAGCACTGGAAACAGCATAAGTTCCAGTGTACACCGGCCAGAGTAAAAGATGACGTGAAATTAGGACGTTATATGGAAGCTACAAGGGAAATTAAAGCTGGAGATATTGTTTTGAAAGAGAAGCCGCTTATTACTGGACCATCTCAGGTGAGAGGTTAGACACTATGTAACACGAGGCACCTGCTTGCAAACTGTTTTACAAATAGAATACCGTAGCCTACGTCTAAAGATTCTTTATTGATTATTTTCACGTCATAGGTACAGATTGTTTAGCTTACTTTGTGGCTGAGTGTAAGGTCAGAAACCCGTTTCTGAATTTCGAATGCAGCTAAACCTTACAAAACACGGACTTATCACACACATACAGTACTGTTCCGTTCGAAATTGTTTCCAATTCGAAATTCCGTGTTTTGCCTTGCGCATTTGGATTTTCGCACGGAAAAAGCCGTTCCGAATGCAAGTCTTCCATAGATTTTGTAGGGTCGCAATACACAGTCGTAAATTCATTACGTATTTTCGCTACGAGAAAATCTGGACTCAATGCCTCGTGTCTCTGAGCTGAGTCCTGTTATTCCGAACGGAAATAAACGTATCTGTGTGATGTATATACGGAATCTCGAATTGATATTCCGAAATGGAATTCGAGTGTATGTGGCCGGCCAAGGCTGCTAGACAGACTGCATGCGCAGAGTCGATATATACAACTGCATACAGTCGACGCTCTTAGCTCAGGAGCTCAGTGTATCTGTTGATGTCGAAATGGAAGCACAGATGGTATTTGTAAATTGTCACTGGTATTCATTCATCTGGATCATTTAAGATTCCAAATTCTCACGTTACTTTTTATTAAGGAAATAAACGTATCACTACCGAAATATTCTATTTTAAACCAACTTACTTCCGCAATCTTCGACTATACTCCGTGGAATTTGCCATCAAAATGTAAACAAGGGTGCCATTACAAACAAAAATATTAAAAGAATTGTTCAAATGTGAAATAAAACCGTCGACAAAAGTTTCGCCAATCGTGTTTTTGTTTTACCATTACGTTGATTACTAGTAACCAACGTAATGGTAATCGTAAACGTAATGGTAGAAGAAAAGCATGTTGTATCAGGCATAAACAAATCATGTATTCTCATAAGAATGTCAATTGATGCTCTGATTATCGGGCTATTACAATTCACATCGAATTCAGCCGACGCGATTCTTGCACGCTGTTGAAGTCTTGACATTCTGGAATTCCGTGACTCATTTATTTTCTTAAGGCATGAGCTCATTGTAAGGTCAATATTTAATAAGTGTGCCTCATTTATAATTGTTAACTCGACCAAAAACTGCTTGCAGATAACACCGCCAGTGTGTTTGGGCTGCTACAAACTGTTGGAAGAAGGTAAAACAGTGGTATGCGAAAAATGTGGCTGGCCATGTTGCTCTGAAGCTTGTACGAAGTCTGACGAGCATAAACCCGAGTGTCATTATACGCAAAAAAGAGGCGAAAAGGTAAATGTATAATTTACTCAAGACTACTTACTTTCTCATTCAAAACTTTTTGAAATTATAATAAAGAAACTTCTACCTCGCTATAAAAATGTTGTTGATCAAATCTCGCTACAAAAATGTTGTTGAACATGGTTTATATGTATGTCGAAGACCAAACTTTAGTGTTCACAGAGTTTCCTTAACAAAGAAATAAACCGTCAACCGTGACCATCGGACCTGTAAAGGGCCCGAAACGTCGGTTTGTTTGAAGAAACAAATATACGCGATTTAAATCCGGAAAAATAGTTTCATTTCCTATAAAGAAATAAAATTTCAGATCTCAATTGCTACCTTTGGGGAACCTCATCCCAATTACCAATGTATCACGGTTCTGCGATGCTTATACCAACGTGACCACGACCAGAATCTATGGGCAAAACTCCAAGGTCTGCAGTCCCACTGCGAAGATCGTAAAGGAACTGACAAATGGAATAATGACAAGAAAATGATAGCCGAGTTCATCTGGAAATTCTTCAAACTGGACGGAACTTTTAGCGAAGAAGAGATCATGAGGTGTTGCGGTATTGTACAAGTTAGTACTTTCGAAATTGTTTTATTGTATGTATAATCACGGAATTAGTAAAAGAAGAAAAGTAAGGCATAATCGGAAAATTTACTGTTGAATTTCGCAATCCTTGAGCACCTATCTACCTAAGAAATCATCCTCAGTCTTAGTGCTTCAGCGGCCGAATTCAGCTGTTGACAGGTTTTAGTTGCTATGCACCAATAAGTCACAATTTGAACATAATTTCAGATCAACGGCCACGAAGTTCCATTGCTGGAACCTGAGTACGTTGCAGTTTTCGACCGTATCTCCATGGTGGAACACAATTGCCGAGCCAATTGTAATAAGAGCTTCACATCAGAAGGAGAAATAGTAAAAGAGTTTATACTTTTTGATTATTGTACAAAATTCTTTCCAAGACTCATTTGAACACTCCCGTGAGATAGACTCAAATAATCCCTATCCAAAGAAAATTGTCGATGTCGATGAATCCCAAACTTAAGGAAATTTAAGAACAATCTTTTCTTAATTTGAATTCAACTCCCAGCCACCTCCCAACAACCTCTAGAACTTACAGAGAATTAGAAGGTCGAGACCAGGTAAACTAATGTTCTTACCCTACTTTATCTAGCGCCATCTCTTTCAGAGTATGAGAATATTGACAATAAACATGGCCATATGCACTTCCAATTTAACTGTCCGAAAAAGCGGTTTGAAAGTATTCTAATTCTAGCGCACATTTTATAGCTATGATATCCTAGTCGTAGAAACCTCCTTTTATGGGTTACTGTTGTTAATGTCTATAATTTCAGATACTCTGTGCTGGTGTGAACATATCGGTGGGCAGTCACATATCAATGTGCTATACCGACCCATTGTGGGGTACGGAAGCTCGACGTCATCATCTCGCCGACTGGTTCTTCGAATGCTGCTGCGAAAGGTGCTCTGATGTTACAGAGTTCGGAACTATGTACAGCGCTGTCAAGTGTAGGAAGAAGTAAGTTTTAGAAATATTAGTATTATAAGGTACCTAGACGAGAATTAGCAGACTGTATAACTCTACCAGCGATGACCTTGTGAAGGTTGCGGGATGCCGCTGCCTGCGTGCAACACAAGACCAGTCTTTGTAGCGAATTTCCAAGGAGGTTTATGTCCTGCAGTGGATGTCTGTCAGCTGAAATGTTGGCAGGGATCCAAAGTGAAAGATATGCAAAAGAAGTGGCCTATACTGAGCGCTGAGTGACTGTAAATTGAGATAAATGAATAACGCATACTGTAGCCACGTCGAGGCGAAAGACGCGTTTAGTTTCCATTGGTATTGAAGGAATTTTCCTGTGCTTGTTCGATCTTTCAATCAATAATAAATACTAAACGCAAGCTGCATTACAAAGTTACCCGCACTAATGTAGGTAATTTAGATTCTTTAGATGCAGTAATGACCTCTGAACCTCAAAACAAAGTTTCCAGATGTTATTATCGTCTTTCTAATCCATTTCAAATACAATTTATATCGCGAATAAAGACTAAATTCTAAATTAGATATATAGATAGAGATATCAACAATATACTTAGAGAAAAACTTTTGAATTTATGAATCTTTTCAGAGACTGTAAAGGTTATCTTCTACCCGAAACATTCATAGTCCCCATTCTGCACAAGACCAAGAATCCGAACCCGGAAACAAGAAATCTGGATAACAAAACGTGGATCTGCAACTCATGTAAGGACATTGTGACGGATGCCATAATTCAGCAGTTGCTTCAGGATATTGGAAAGGAATTGAGTGTAATGCCGAAAGAAGATCCTGATGCTTGTGAAAAGTTAGTGCAACAAGAACAACTGTCTAAGCCTGATTTGCTAGCGCCTATTCTGGTGTCTATGTAATAAGAGACGTTGTGCGTTTCGCTTCCACTCGGTGCGCCAACTCGAAACGCACTAGATACGTCTTTTTCACTCTTATTACAATGACATAAAGCTTTTTCTGGTCGGCATAATACAGATCCGTGTCGATAAATGTGATGACTACTTATCCCGATGTTGTTTTTTCAGCAGCGAATTATGATCGTTAGGAAATACTTTGCATTACCAAATTTCCTATGTTTACATTGAGCTGAATCTTCATGAATTTTTTTGTAACGAGTGGTAATTCTCTCAGAAAAGACAATAAAATATCAATTTTGGTTGAAAATAGGTTTAGTGATCCTCTTCCCCAAGTTACTGTTTTATACTCTCCTTGAAAAGACCGTGCTCAACCACATTTGTGTATAATAACGCACACACTCAACATAGCCCCGCACTAGGGAAACCCTGTGTCGCGGGTGCCATGGACACACACATAGACAACCACAAATTACACCCAACGAGACTCACGAGAGAAATAAATGAAGGTCATACAAATATTTCGCCCGGCCCAGGAATCGAACCTGGGACCTCTGCGTGGCAGTCCGGCATGGTAACCGTTCGGCCACGGAGGCAGTTTACACACACACATTATTTTTATACCATATTATTTTTCTCCAGGTTCATCAGCCACTGCAGTGCCTATCTTCACCCGTACCACTACTATATGACAGATGTGAGTTTGGCCTTGGCTCAAATGATAGGACAGGATCACAACGAGGGACTGGCTGGTGTTATGGACGACAGACTTTTGCTGAAGACGCAGCTTTGCAAAAAGATTGCAGATTTGTTGGAGTGTTTAGCTCCTGGTAAGACCGAATGGATAATCAGATATATTCCTCTGTATATCAAAAACATAGGCCACCTCCATGGAGGTAAACGTACATTAGTGGAAAGTTAAACCTCCCTAATTAAGGTAACTGGGTTAAGGGTGACAAGTAATTTTTGAGTTCTTAATGCTCCAAATCGTTTCCTTACTTTCTCAATCTCGTATCTTACAAAGGGTGATTATTCAGGGCATGACAAAACTGTCTATTTATTTTAAATTTCTTATCAAGCTGTTAATTTCGGTGTATTAGTTTTAAAATAGGTGAAAACCAGTGCGTGAATATGAAGGAAATGTGAGGTGAAATCAGCCTGCACAATTTGTATATACAATCCATTTTTTCATCATAATCATATCAGCCGGAAAACGTCCACTGCTGAACATAGGCCTCCCCCAAAGATTTCCAGACCAGCCGATCGAACGCGACATGCATCCATCGGTTACCCGCCGCCCTTACCTACCAGGTCATCCGTCCATCTAGTAGGGGGCCGTCCCACTGAACACTGTCTGGTTCGTGTCTCCATTCGAGAACCTTTTATGTCCCAACAGCCGTTAGTTCTACCTTGCCCACTGCCACTTCAACTTGAGCTATGTCGGTGACTTTCGTTCTTCTGAGGATCTCCTCATTTCTGATTCGATCACGTAGAGAAATGTCGATCATCACTCGCTTCGTAGTAAATGACCACGTCTTAGAGCCGTGGGTCATCGCTGCCAACATGCACTGCTCGAAGACTTTTATCTTCAAGGACTGCGGTATTGCGGACGAGAAGACGTCCCGGAGCTTCAACAAAGTCGGATTCGACGATTGACCTCTTTCTCGAAGTTGGCTCCGCCTAATTGGACGGTTTGTCCGAGGTAGACATACTTGTCAACAACTTCGAAAGTAGAGGTTCCGACTGTTATAGCCTTTGATGTTGATGCCGAGTCCTTTCCAGTCCAGTAATTGAAGGCATCTTCTAATGCAGTGGTAAACAGTTTCGGAGAAATGACATCTCCCTGTGGCACCCCTCTTTGCAATTGGATAGGTCTTGTGCACTGGTCCTGGAGTCAAACTGACATGGTGGCGTTTCTGTACAAATATTTCAACACTTCGACATATGGAAAGTCAATGTGGCACCGTTGTAGAGACTGTAGCACCGCCCATATCTCGATCAAATCAAAGGCTTTCTCATAGTCCACTAACGCTAAGAATAATGGCAGATTACAGTCCTCGATCTTCTGTATAACCTGCCGCAGTGTGTGGATGTGGTCTAGAATCCATTTTATGTATTTCAATACATAATTTTGTGCTTTAAGATAAAGAGATGAGAAAGTAAGGCGACGAAATGGCGTTTGACATCAATGTTCACGACGTGATTGTAAGTTTGTTAACGTGTAGAAAATATAGCTTGTCAACTTTTTAAAAAACTTATTAGATATGTACGTAGTAAAAGGTAAATTATTGTTGTTTGTTGCAGCTGAAACGCGCGTTCGAGGTTCTCTGCTATTCGAACTCCACGCTGCCATAGCTGAAACTGGCAGACGGAAATCACTGACAGAAGGCCCTATGGTTTTGTTGGGACACGTCACCGTACGTATCTGATCTATATAAAGTATTTCTGACGAAAGTTTGAAAGTGTCCAGTAACTGAACCGAGGTCCGTTTCCATTAGACCCACTACTTAAATCATTGTACGGGTTAGAGAGTAGGGAGAGTGGGAATAAGTATGGTACTTAATAAGTTGGAGCCGGTTAGAAAAAACGTTGTGTCCATGCGATAAGAACAAAAAAGACGTTGTGCATTTCGCTCAGATGTACATAATACTTTTTCTGACCAACTTAATGCGATTGATAAGCGTGGTGACTTCTTTAAGAACATTCAGCTCATCCTTTTGTCCGGCTGCGCAGCCAAGGTTGACTATTAATGCATTACAGAACATCATCCGTTACATTAATACTTTTAATATCAACACAGTGTACCGGTACTGCATCTGCCACTCTCGTCCTTCTGAGAAACAGCGTGTGGGAATTTATAAGAACAATTAACTATAAAATAGACTAGATTCGATAATGTTTCGTAACGTCTGTCTTGTGTGGGATACATCCGTTCCGAATTTGCGACATAAGCACTTTTGCGCACTGCATCCGTACATAACCGTCCTACATAACCTATCCCAGTGTTATTTCGGATCGTCATTTCTCGGATTCGGAACTGCAGCTTGATTTTGATTGCCTCTCCCGATCGGAAACTGCGTCTTTTCCGAGTCGAGGCGAATAATTGAGATTCACAATTAGCCGTCCGGAAACTTTTGACATTTCTAATCGGAACAATAGTTGCTTTAACTCACAAATTAGAAAGATATAGTAGGAATCAGGTTCAGCTTCTCGCTCAGAAACCCATCTGATTTCGAGACTGCCCGATCGAATACATTCCGATTTGCGTCACAATCAGCACGCTGATACGAACCGGGAGGTAATGTGCAAACGCTATAATAGTTACTGCCTTGAAAGTATTTGTCCGGTTTAATTAATTACAACAATATTCTTTTCCAGGAATCCCGAAAAATCTTGTTAGAGTCAGCGTTTCTGCTCCGAAACGAGCCCCCAGAGCTCCCTGAAGGGAAGTTGGCGAAGCAAGCCAAGATCAACCTGGTGCACATGGATGAGCTCATCAGGAACCTGTCCAATACTTTGCCTGCGCCTATTTAGACCGAGATTTATTTGTAGAGATTACTGTTACTACAAAAACATTTCTAGTTAATACTGCCTTCAGAACGAAAAAAGGCACAACTAAGGTATAACGTACAGTACCTTTGCCAGGGCCTGTTTTCGTTACGAGGGCAGAGGTTTTATCAAATCTGAAATGTTTATCCCCTTTGGAGAGCAAACGTTTGGATTGAAAAGCTTTGGAATGCAAATATGTTTTTACACTCATCCATTGACACTATTTGAAAATGCTAAGAACGCCGTATAGGTATACTAAGAAGTATCAGAGAATGTAAATGGGTGTGTTTAATACCACAGTAGCTTGGTGTCTGGTAAGTTTTAGCGTGTGTATTATTTTTTTGGTTTATTGGCTGTATAATAGATTTAAAGATACCTTATTATTGTAGAGATATTCTCCGAAAGACGTAGTAAATGACAAATAAAGTTTTCAACTTACACAAATAATAATTGTGTTTTATATTGTACTCGCTGATTTTTTTATGATACCGAGAGACGGAACGAACAAGTTGTGGGTCTGGTGGTAAGCGACTTGCCTGTCCATAACAGTTGCCACTCAGAGCTTTAAAGCGCAAAGATCTGAGGGGCACTGCCACTGCGCCCGTCACCCTGAGACATATCACATAAGTTGACAAGTCTTCATGTGCCTGTAATTTCACCAGCACCCTTATCATTTAAAACCGGAACACAGTAATGCTCGTATTATTACTGCTTGACGGCAGAAATAGGTAAGGTGACAGTACTTCCCTGGACGACCTCTTTCACAAGGAACTCCACTCTGCTACTAATCGGATTAAAACCCATTAATGCCCGAATCCGAGGGCAAATAGAGAGATTAGATTTGACTTTCTGTTGAATCGATTCGCTACAACAAACCTTACGTACGGAGTAAAGTGCATTATCTAATCCGGACTCGCAGTATAAAAAGTACATACTAGAAACGCCTATAAAATTTCAAAGAGCAAACAATTTGGAGTAGATCTCGTGCGTAGAGGTGGGCGTATAAACGAAAAACACTTAAAAGTTTGCCTTTTGATATAAACACAAACATGCTTAAATTTTTAAGTGGTAACCTCAATACTCAACAATTTCACTTTCTACAAAGTGTCAAGTCGTCATCTCAACAGTAATGTTACAAACAAAAATAAAAATCGTGTTTTACAAATATATCTTGAAACCTTTAATTATTGGCATAATCTCGCTTTTCGCTGCAACACAATGTTGCAACTTGCGAACTTTTTTAACATAAAGTCTATGGACTTAAGGCGGCCATACGCGTTACGGTCTACCTACCTGAAGGTGGGTTGAAACACACCTGTGAGGATTATGTAGATTTATACCTGAGCAGGCGACCGGTGCGCAAGATCAATAACCAATTTTTTTTTAGTGACACCGTACGTAGACTTGTGCGTGTGTGCGTGCAGTACGGTCGCCTCCTATGCAAGTCGCGGCTGTTAATTTCTGGTTAGGGTGTGGGGTAGTTGCGTCGTTGCATCGTACTGCCGAGCGAGCGTAAAAATGACACTTTCCAATTGGACTGGAAAAATACTGGAACAGTTTTTACACATTATATAAAATTCATCCATGTCGTTGGTAAATAAAAAATCAAAGATTACCACAAAAAAAGATGTTTACATGATGCTTATTGAAAAATTAAAAAAAATAGAACCCGATGCCACTAAAGCAACAGTTGTCAGAAAATTCAACAATTTATGAAGTAATGCAGGGAAAGAAACGAAGAAATATGAGCAGTGTTTGAAGTCTAGAGCATCAGCTGATGATGTTTACCATACGAAATTGTAGTACAATGAATTATTCAAATTCCTGAATGGTCAAAGCACACCCAGAGAGTCTTTGTCTAATTTGGATGACTAAGATGAAAACAGTTGCATTTATAAATATTATTATTTTTATTCAGGTGAATACATTTTAAAATTTTACGAAAGAACCTATATACAATTGTGTAACAAAATGGGTATATTATTTTCGGCTTTCCATACATGTCATGTCAGGTGATGGTCCAATTGGTATGATGGGCTGCGGCAACCCATAGCAACTTGATATACTCTTTTTGTTATATCAGGCATAACTATACTTACATATTTAACTGTAAATTAAAAAAATTATAAATCGCTAAAGCCTAATCAACAGTAAACGTAACACATTTTATGTTCGTAAAGGTTAGGTATGAAAATATGTCTATTGATATATTTTTAATTTATATGATCATGCCACTAGTCTTCTCGAACATTTTTGAGTGTCCTATTAAAAAGTTATGTAGTTCACAGGAAACTATTACCTACTACTTTCTCGATACTTTCTGGTTCTAAATTAATATGAATGTAAAATACCGAAATCGTGATGTCTTTACCCCGAAAGAATTTTTTACTGTACGCCTAGCTCGAGATAATCTATAATTGAGGGAATTTCTTCTGTTTTGTAATTTTTGAAAAAAATATTGTTTTTTTTGTAAATACGCCTGCATCTGATATTCTACCATTCATGCCAACATCTATGTACATACATGAATTGGTGTTTAGCATTAACAATAGCCTTAAAAATAAGAATCATGATTAATTATAACAATAAATAAATAAATGAATAAATACGATCCAATAATAGCCGGTGACACCGGGTGACACATCACAATCGCAATATCGGATGGTCCCCATACACGCTACGACAAGCGGCATACCTGCGCAGGTACACTACGTACCTGTGGCCCTGCGTACCGGTACGCAGTGTACCTGCGCAGGTATACTCTTCGGTAGATCGACCTTTGAATCAAATTTGTTTACCGCAATTAAATAAAAAATACGATGTACGACAATTTTTTTCGATTTATTTTTTTAGTGATTTGGGTTCAGTATCGGATATACAATGACCTCTGTAAAAATGGCGAGAATGTAAATCAACACATTGTATACTCGATGATGCCAGACAACCACACCTATTTATTGCCTAGTCTCAAACCAGGGAATTCCCTGTACGATGAGTACCAGAGAAGCGGAATTCACTCTGGAGCACTTCCCAGAACATCCAGATCAAAACTAATGTCGAAAAGTTTTTTTTCGCGGGTGTCATACACACACACACACACACACACACACACACACACACACACACACACACACACACACACACACACACACACATAGACAGCCACAAATGACTCCATCATACAAATATTTCTTCTGGTCCGGGTATCGAACCCGAGACTTATGCGTGTCAGACTAGCATTTCAGTTAATTTAATAATATTTTGTTTATTTTGTATTTAATATTTGGTGGTATCGAGAATCGAACCCAAGAGCTCCTCATCCTGCGCCCACTGTATAAACTATTGGGTCACCAAACTCGTCAAAATGTCTCACCTAAAAATTGTTATTTCGCAGTTGTGACCTTATTACACAAAGGGTGAGAATAATAGGTAAACGGTAAATAAAAAACAACTCCGGAAATCACTATCAACGGTTAACTTTAAAATTAACTATTCGTCTAAAACTAAAACAGGACGACACATTTCCACCGTCTTCACACACTACTTTCGGAGTTGTAATGACAAAGCAATTAAGCAAGTGTAACGTGAGATAAAAAGGTTCCCACAAGATCAAAGCCTGCCTACCTTACTGTGCAAGTGTAATGTCCCACGCAGACACAGGCAAACGCTCGGGTTTTAACCCGGCGCATGGTTAATACCTGGATTTATGTCGGGTTAAAACCCATTAACGCCCGAAATCGAGGGCAAAAACTATATACAACGAAGGAATTTTCTTCTTTCTGTGTTTTAATAATAATTGTAACAAACTAGTACAGTCATCATCATCATGAAGCCATTTATACGTCCTGCTGCTGGGCACGTGTCTCCTTTCAAACGAGGGTTTAGGCCATAGTCCGCCACCCTGGCCCAATGCGGGTTGGGGACTTCACAAGTTTTCCGATGGTTGTGAACCTTCTTCAACGTGCAGATTTGATCACGATATTTTCCTTCACAGAAATGATAATTTCAAATTTAACTTCGCACATAAATTCCGAGAAACTCAGAGGTGCGAGGCTGGATTCGAACCCACGAGCCTCTGCTTGAGAGGCCGTAGATCAAACCATTAGGCTACCACGGCTTTTTACTAGTACAGTAATTTCACAAAAATAACGTCGTGACATTCAATAAACTTAAAAATTACATATTTGTTGTAAATTCAGTTTTGTTCAAATTTATTGATATTTTTACAAAATTTTCATTGCTCACTTGTAGTTAGACGATTCGACTTGCCTTTCTATAAAATCGATTCGCTTAAACATAGCTATGAAATGAATCGATACAAAAAAATCGTTACATCGTAAGCAAAATTTTTATGAAGATCAATTCAAGTGATCTTTTGTTGTTTGGAGATGCCTCTTTTTCGTCTAAAAACATTTTTTCCCTCGAAATTTGTAATAAACTGCCCATGTTTTTAGACAGAAACGGGTTAAAACCCGAGCGGATAGTGCTTTAACAAATTGCTTATATCTAGTCCCACGTCATCAATTAGATCTGATTCTGTTATCAGCCAGTCTTCTAACGTGTACACGCGAAACGTGCATTGTTGGCTTCACTCCAAAAAAAATTCCATGGAGCTTTTTTCTTACGCGTCATGTGTAGTTGAAAAACAGGACGCGACTCGACGCTTCGACTCTGCGCCAATGTGAGTTGAGCCTTACGATACAATGAAATGATTCTTACAAGAAACTGGGTCGACAGTCAATATTGTTATTTTTTATGACAACTCACGGTAGACCAAAATTGTTTCCACAAAGAAATACCTTAGTTTTCTTTGATAGTTTCTCTGTATCTCGATTGGTTTCGGATTTTCCCATACTGTCCCAGTAAAAAAACACACCTATACACGGGAATCTTCTGAAGAAAGTGGACTCATTTTTTATTGCAGACTTTCTTACGACTAGCAGGAAAGAGTTTTAAGGATTAAGAGTTAGTATATGTATATACGCACAACCTCAAATGGCTTTGGTTGATGGCGCATA